GATTTAATCGTTATTTCATTCTGGATTCGCATCCCTGAGATCTATCCCACGTGGGCTCTTCAGGGGAGGTAATCCACACACACACACAGAGAGAGAGAGATCTCTCACTATATATATATATATATATATATAATAATAACGCAGACAAAAAGAACTCGGGAGCTCTTTTGTGGATGCCCACGATTCGTTCACGTCTGGGGATGATTGCGAGTCTCTCCATCACGGCCCTCCTCCTCCTCACGGTTGGGACTGTCGTGATGACGTTCGCGCGGGAGAAGCTGCGGCAGCCGCGGCCGTGGCTCCGGGTGAACGCCATGAGGGTCTTCCCGGTTGTCCAGTCCACAGAGATGGTGATCCTCCCCTCCTCCCCCCTTCTCCGCGCGCTCAGCCCGTACTTCCGCAATGGCACCCTCGAGACGAATGTCCGCCCCACCACCAAGACCGCCCCCAGGGACTCCGAAAAAAATCTCACCAGGCCCAGTACCACGACAGACCCCACAGAGGGCCACCGTTCCACTAAGGACCCCAACCTCCCCTCCTCCTTCATGATTAACAACAAGGTAAACCTGAAGCTGCAACAGGCCGTCATGGGGATATGCACGGTCGACAACATCGCCCTGGACGTCTCTGCGGAGATGAACTTCTCGGAGTGCTGGGATTGGAATACTAAGGCGATCTACATCGCGTTTATCGCCCAGTATGCGACGCCGCGAGGGCAAAAGAACGAGGGGATCTTTTTGGACGTCATCCTCCGCGATGGACGGCCGCCCTCCCTCATTCATCGACTTATCCGGTACGTGTTGGAGCTCCTGTTCCCGAAAGAAGCCATAAGCTGGCAAGAAAATGAAAAGGAGCACGACGCTGAGGGCACCTTCATTGACCACAAGAAAAAGCACGTGCGGTTAAACAAATCCATGAAGTACTACGTGAAAGATTTGTATGCGAATACGCTGGAGAGGGAGATGATCAAGATCTCGGTTCGATATCAGGTAATAGGGCACTTCGGTTGGGTGCCAACACGCGAACTGCATGCAGAGTTCCCTGTGCAGTTTAAAAATACAATCTCAAGGGAATAGAAGGAAAATGATAACCTAATGAAGAACGTAGTAATGGATTGAAGAAATGATGGGACAAGCATCGATATCGGAGAGTGTATTGGTCTCTATAAATACAAAGGTGGGTCAGAAGATTAGAAGAAATAAAGAGGTGAGGAAAAGGTATTGTCTTTCTTTGAAATCCGGAAATCGATGCGTACATTATTTCATTGTATTTGGGGATAGAGAAAGGGGTTCGTTGTGATGGAGAGAACGTGGAAGAGAAATGAGATGTGCGATAATTCCTTAAATTGTTTGAATAAGGCTCCTTCTGCACTGTTTATCAATATGAATCATAATCACAACAATAATAGCCATAACGACAATTATCGGTATTGTTATCTTTCTCAAAGCTCCAGAATGTTAATCGTAAATTCTTACATCCTCTCTATTTTCTTATTATTGTGTAAGGAATTTTGTTTCCTTGGTTCTTATTTTTTTTTTCTAGGCACAGAAAAATTAGCTTTGTAGGGAACCCCATACACACGGAGAGCGAGATAACGACAAAAATTGTCCTTACGACGGATTAGCAATTTTACTTATTAAATATTATTAGTAAAAAAAAATGGGAGCGACAAGAAAAAGAGACCCTATGATGTTCTCCATCAACCCCGAGTTCTACGAGCGGTGTATGAAACCCACAAACACGATCGCAATGGGCATGAAGACCAACCATGCCTCCTCCAAATGCTGGGAGGAGCAGGTGGAAAAGGAAAAACGAATTGCCGAGCACTGGGAGGCGGAATATAATGCAAACCATCAAACGGATAGGCAAGAAGCCAGCAATGAGATAAAAGGCAATTCTAGCTCGCATAGAACCCCACCCCTCAGCACCATCCAGCGCGTTCTCGCGCAGGAAAGAGCGCTCAAAGAGCGCTACCTCAGCCCGGAGCGCAATCCGGAGCTCTACACCCACCTCTACGAGCGCCCTCCGCCCTCCCTCACGGGGATAACAAACCCAACCACAACCTCCTCCTCGCCTTCCCGCGAGGAGACGATTCACAATAAGGCGGCAAATCCCAAAATGGTCGAGGATAATCGCCATCAGCACCGCTCGGAGCGGTATCTTTTCGCCCGCGCCCAACTTCACAGCTTGGACGAGCGCTATCCAAACGGCCCGATGACGGCCGCGCAGAACATCGGGTGGAATATCGGCAAAAATATCAACAAAAATAAAAATAATTCGCCCACTTCACTCGGGGGAATGACTGCGGTGGCGGATGTCAAAAAACTTTACGGCCCCAGACAACTCAAAAAGCTCGCCGGAGGCTTTCGCAAACCGGAGGATGAGGATCACGCCTTTCTGCTCGGTTATGACCTTATCCCGAAATGAACCCCCCCCCCCCCCTACCACACACACACAAAAAA